TATCCGTCCTTGATGTAGAAACATTTCAAATTCATATTATGTGTAGTCAAAATCTTCTGTATTTGCTGAAAACACTTCGGGTTTGACGATGCTGTAGTTAAACCCGAACGTTTATCGCTAGATATATTTCTTTGCCGCGTACATATAATGTATATACTAGCATAACGCCCGTTCTCGTGAATCGAGACACAAATTTTCACTTATAAAAATGTTTTTTTTTATCATTGTATCTCGTGTATCATGCGAGTTCCTATTTTAACAGACCAAATTTCAATCGCTCTTTTCCTCTATCTCTTTATCCTATCTTCTAGTTAAATAATTTAAAAAAGTAAAAGAGAATGATAAAAAGTATCACTGATAACACTATACACGTTGCGTAGACGCGTACAGCCATAAACAACCGAACGAGAAACAGCTAAACATCTTAGAAACGTAAAAAATGGAACAGATGAATATTCGCTATATTTTTATTTGATAATACGATACTAATATGTGACTATTATATGCATTATTATTGGATACAGTTAAGTAACAAAATCAGTTGAATCAAAATAACGTTTATTTTAAATACAGCAGCACATTATGACTACAGTAAATGGATATATAAATTAGACAAGGGCGTAACAAGGATCAGCAGTACATACGCTAATTTTATATGTCGTTTATTATGCGACCCTCTTAAAATTAACTTCAAAATTAGGTTTTCAAAAGTCGCATGACACACACACACATACACACACACACACACACATATATATATATATATATATATTATTTATTTAAAAATATGATTCCATCGCTACATAGGTGTTCTCATATTTCAAAACAAGAGCCGAAAACTTCAATATAGTTATTTGAATTAAATTGAATTAAAGTACCAAGCTCGGTTCCATCTTCAAGCGAAATTTTTTTTGAATAACTAATTCCTGAAATTTACGCGTTTTATAAGCATATTCATTATTAAAATTAAAATTACTATGATAACGGCTAGAGCAATTATTTTAAAAAAAGGGTGGGGGCGTAAGGGTTAATAATTTGTATCAGTATACAGTTACATTCAAAGAGGTCAAGTCAGGGTAAGGTTGGGGTGTCTAAATTTAAAGCGGAAGATGACATCGTCTAGTCTGGTAAAGTGTCTAAGTTTTCGGTTCTTGTTTTGAAACATGAGAACTCTTATGTAGCGATGGAATCATATTTTTAAATAAATAATTATATTTATGCTCTACTTTTGTATAAAGCACTATTTTTAAAAATAATAACAAAAATACTAAAGAACTTTGGATTATTTACTTAATGAGTTATTTCCTATTTTCTATATATTTTACACACACACACACACACACACACACACACACACACATATATATATATATATATATATATATATATATATATATATATATATATATATATATATTACAATTATTGCAGAAAATAAATAAATAATGAAGTGTTATAATTCTTACTTTCAAATGAAATTTTCTGGAAAATATATTTTATTATAGAATTTTTTTAAATTTCATAAGATCTTAGAAATGGACCTCTCTGTTTAAGTAGTGCCTATATTAAATAAATGTTAATTAAAATTACCTTCAAAATTAGATCTTCAAAAGTTGCATGATAAACGAGTATATACGGTATTTATTTTCTTTCTACCTTTCTTTACTTGTTGCGTACATATATTTATTTTCTTTCTTTCTTTTTTCTTTCTTTCTTAGGGACATATATCTCTTTTGTCGTTGAAATAAATATGACGACAAAGATGAGGACAATAGTCCGAATAATGTAAATAATGTACATAATACCTCATCTCAGAAATATAGACAGATACTGAAGAACAGAAACGTTGTAATAAATATGACGACAAAGATGAGGACAATAGTCCAAATAATGTAAATAATGTACATAATACCTCATCTCAGAAATATAGGCAGATACTGAAAGGCCGAAACGTTGTAAAAAATATGGCGACAAAGATGAGGACAATAGTCCGAATAATGTAAATAGTGTACATAATATCTCATCTCAGAAATATAGACATATACTCTCAGTGGTTTATCTTTGTGAATTTTAGCAAAAGACTTATTTTCTTCCTTTTGTTACAACTCAGACCACCCTTTCTTATTTCCTTTGCTTCTTCTTTTCCATCATTCTCACTTACTTCTGGAGGTTTTATCAATCTTTCCCGTAAAAAAAAAAAAAATCAAATTCACATTATGTGTAATCAAAAACTTAAGCATTTTCGTGTTTGCTGAAAACACACCGGTGATGTTGTAGTTAAATCCGAACGCGTACTGCCAGACATCTTTGTCAGCAAGAAGTAAATTATCTTTTTCTAATACGTTACTTCGTCGTGCGAGTCGAAGACAAGTAAATCTAACTTTGCTTTCGTCATGAATATTTAAAACTAGTCCGACTTCGGGATTTGATAAAGGATGTTATGTCGCATGATCTGAATGTCGGATACGCTGGATCTTCAGAAATATACACTTGTAAAAAAATAAATAAAGATCAAAATATTTTTGTTTGTTGGCACTAGCTCTACCTGTAGTTTAACTGCTAATCAACCATTTATGGAATCAAGCCTACATAATAAATAGAAAGTAACGCTGAATAATAATTAAATTGAAACAATCAGCGCATATTTTATTATGTGATCAGTAGACCAAGCATAAATACAGGTACTACATGGTAGACACAAATCAAAATGGCCAATCGATGAATAAGATAGTATAAGTTCTGGATATTTTTCATATTCTTCTCAAATAGATTAAGCTTACCTAGCAGTTCCAGTAGTCTGGTATTATTATAAAAAAACACCTCATGGCGTGGACAGTCAAAGATAATTTTTCGAGAATCTAATTGTTTTTAAATTTCTCTTTTTAGGCGTCTCTTTCTTTTTCTTTTTTGTTTTAATTCTGTTACATTTATAATTACTTTTTTTTCTTCTGTCCACTTTTTTCTTTACTTTTCCTATGTCGAGAATGCAATGGACAGAGCATGTGAGCAATGAGGAAGTTTTGCAGAGACCATCAACAAATATAGTTAAAATCAGAATACTACAATTGAATTTTCTTTTATTAATCACCCTTTGCATATATTTCAATTCTTATCTTTGCCAGACATCTATTCTGTTTGATATCTCTGTTTTATTTTTTTCGTTTTGTTTTTTATTTCTTTTTCTCATTTTCTTCTTTTTTTTCCTTTTCTCTCCCTTTTCCCTCTCTTTCTGTATTTTCTTTTTCCTTTTACCTTTACATTTTTCTTTTCTTTTTCTTTTTTTTTTCTCCCATCCCATTTCATGTTTCCTTCTTTTTTTCTATCTTTCTATTTTCTTTTCTTTTTGCCATTTCTTTTTTCTCTTTCTATTTTCTGGAAATATTTTATTTTTTACTTTATTTCTGTTTTTAGGTCGCTTTTATATGTCTTTTATATTTTCATCATCCTTTACAACACTTTCTTTCGTTCATTCATTCTTCTTTCTTGCTTCCTTTCTTTGTCACATATATATAAATCTTTCCTTTCTTTATGTCTTTCATTATCGCCTACATATATTTATTTTCATTTCTTTCTTTCTTTCTTTTTTTCTTTCTTTCTCTCTCTCTCTCTCTCTCCAACACACACACACACACACACACACACACATATATATATATATATATATATATATATATATATATATATATATATATTCTTTCGGTTTTTCTTTATCGCGTACATATTTTTTTTTTCTTTCGTTTTTTTTCTTTCTTTCTCTCTCTCTCTCACACACACACACACACACACACACATATATATATATATATATATATATATATATATATATATATATGTATGTATTATTTCTTTCGGTTTTTTCTTTATCGGGTACACATATTTCTTTTCGTTCTTTCTTTCTTTCTTTCTCTATCGCATACACATATTTCTTTTGGGTCTTTCTTTCTATGTTGCGTGCATATATTTCATAATATTCCCTATAACACTCTAATACTCCCTATAATATTCCTCATAATGCTCTAATACTCTCTATAATACTCCTTAAAATACTCCTTACAATATTCCCTATAATGCTCTAATATACCTTATAATACTCCCTACAATATTCCCTATAATACTCCCTATAATAATAGTAAAATATGAATTTCTTCATAAATCTTTACACAGATTGAGGCAACCTTGTTCATAAGTCTTTTTTCTCTCTTTCCATCTGTCATTGAAACGCGTCAAAAAATAAAAGTTTCTTTAATTTCTTTAAATATTCAAGTGAGGAAAGGAACACATTGCATCCTTTCCTGCGATAAATGTGACGAATTCAGCGAGAAATGAACCCCAAACGTTCAGGTTTAGATTTATCCTTCTGCATCTATCTCTGTGTTTTACTTTCCTTCAATCTCAATCCCTTAAACCCCGAGTTAAAATAGAGCATAAATGTCTTGATAATACTCCAAAGACCTCATGGTCTGTGAGTTGTCGGATCAAAAATGGAGCAGTCAGGGTCAATAGCAATGAAGCTGTAAGAGAAACAGGATGGGCCGAATCCTCATTTTACGGATTATTTAACCCCGTGTCTCATCTCGTCCGTGTTGCAATGGGCTGTATTACCTCATTTCTGACTGCCTTCTTTATGATTGCTTTCTGCTAAGTGTTCCGACGTTTGTTGTTCTAGTAAAAGGTGGTGTAACCGTGTTGGGTCATATCGTGTTGGGTAGTCATTTCAACAATCAGCGTACATTTTATTATCAGTAAGCCAAGTGTAGAAACAGGTACGACATGATAAACACTAAAATGGGCCAATTGAAGAATAGGATCATATAAGTTCTGAATACTTCTAATATCCTTCTCATCTAAATTAATCTTACGTAGGAATGCCAATAATCTGCTATTGTCATAAATACAATACTGTCAATTGGCGCGTATAGTCAAAGATGTTTCGAGAATCTATTTTTTTCGTATTTCTCTAATTTTCATATTACTATTTATTTTACATTTCTATTTTTATCATGTTTCTCATTTTTCAAGTTTCTATTTATTTTTATATTTCTCCTTTTTTCACATTTTTCTTTTTTCCACATTTGTCTTTTTTCACACTTTTATTTTTTTCGCATTTCTCCTTTTTTGATATATCTCTTTTTTCACATTTCCCATTTTTCACATTTCTCTATTTTGTCACATTTCTCTTTTTCCCATTTCTCTTTTTTTTTGTCACATTTCTCGTTTTTTCACATTTCCCATTTTTTCACATTTCTCTATTTTGTCAGATTTCTTTTTACCCATTTCTCTTTTTTGTAACATTTCTCGTTTTTCACATTTCTAATTTTTTTTTAACATTTCTCAATTTTGTCACATTTCTCTTTTTCACATTTCCCCTTTTGGTCACATTTCTCGTTTTTTCACAATTCCAATTTTTATTCACATTTCTCGTTTTTTCACATTTCCCATTTTTTTCACATTTCTCCTTTTTTCACATTTCCCATTTTTTTCACATTTCTCCTTTTTTCACATTTCCCATTTGTTTCACATTTCTCGTTTTTGTCACATTTCTCTTTTTTCCATTTCCCTTTTTTGTCACATTTCTCGTTTTTTCACATTTCCCATTTTTTACACATTTCTCGTTTTTTCACATTTCTCTATTTTGTCACATTTCTCTTTTTCACATTTCCCTTTTTGGTCACATTTCCCATTTTTTTTCACATTTCTCTATTTTGTCACATTTCTTTCTCCCCATTTCTCTTTTTTGTCACATTTCTCGTCTTTCACATTTCCATTTTTTTTTCACATTTCTCTATTTTGTCACATTTCTCTTTTTCCCATTTCCCTTTTTGGTCACATTTCTCGTTTTTTCACATTTCCAATTTTTATTCACATTTCTCGTTTTTTCACATTTCCATTTTTTTCACATTTCTCTATTTTGTCACATTTCTCTTTTTCCCATTTCTCTTTTTTGTCACATTTCTCGTTTTTTCACATTTCCCACTATTTTTACATTTCTCGTTTTTTCACATTTCCCATTTTTTTTTTCCCATTTCTCTATTTTGTCAGATTTCTCTTTTTCCATTAATCTTTTTTGTCCCATTTCTCGTTTTTTCACAATTCCAATTTTTTTCACATTTCTCCTTTTTTCACATTTCTCGATTTTTCACAATTCCCATTTTTTTTTTCACATTTCTCGTTTTTTCACGTTTCTCTTTTTCCCCATTTCCCTTTTTTGTCACATTTCTCGTTTTTTCACATTTCCCATTTTTTCACATTTCTCTATTTTGTCGCATTTCTCTTTTTCACATTTCCGTTTTTGGTCACATTTTTTTCACATTTCACATTTTTTCACATTTCTCTATTTTGTCACATTTCTCTATTTTGTCACATTTCCCTTTTTGGTCACATTTCCCATTTTTTTCACATTTCTCGTTTTTTCACATTTCTCTATTTTGTCACATTTCTCTTTTTCACATTTCCCTTTTTGGTCACATTTCCCATTTTTTCTCATTTCTCTATTTTGTCATGTTTCTCTTTTTCTATATTTCTCTTCTTTTTTCATATTTCACTTTTTATTTTAACTTCTCTTTTTTTTCACATTTCTCTTTTTTCATATTTCTCTTTTTTCACATTTCTCATTTTTTACTTTTTTTAACTCTGTTATATTTGTTTTCCTTTTTCTTTCTTCATTCTTCTTGTATTTATTTTTTGTCTTTTCAACTATTTTTTTTTTCTATGCTGAGAATCTAATGAACTGAGAATGTGAGCAACGAGGAAGTTTTACAGAAACCATCAACTTGATTGATTCTTATGGTTAAAATCTGAAAAAAGACAATTTCATTAGATACAGGCATCACATGGTAGACATTTATCAAAATGGACCAAATAAAGAGGATAGTTCGTGAGATTAGATTAATGCACTTCTGTGGTCTCGGATTCACCGCGTGTTTTGAGTAGGTCAGTCCCTAAAGCGCACCAGTCCAAGCTGGGGATGTATGAAACAAAATGTGCATGGATTCTTGGAACAAGATTCGAAATCTGGGGAAGGCCTCAGAGTACAGCAAATGGAGATCTATATATGACGGATATTAAAACCATCCGTATGAAAATCCAACTCAGGTGGGCAGGTTATATTTCACGTCTGAGAGATAGCAGTCTTCCTAACAATTTCTCTTTGGCCAGATTCTGTGAGTGAAGTCAGGTGGAAGGCCATCTGTCTAAATATTAGCAAGACACCGGCAGACTTCGTTGGGCACATGACTATTTTATTGAGTTGATGGTTTACGGTAAAACTTCTTCGTTGCTCACGTGATCAGCTAAAGAAGAAGTTGACAAGAAGAAAAAGAAAGAAAGGGCATGTGTTGAAAAAAAGATAATGAACAGAATTTAAAAAAGAAAGAAAAAAAAGAGAAATGTGAAAGAAAAGAGGAATGTGAAAAAAAGAAAAAACGTGAAAAAAACAGAAAAAGGTGAAAAAAACGTAGATTCTAGAAAAATTATATTTGACTGGACGCTCTAGTAAATATACCGTGGCCGATCAAGTAAATATACCGTGGCCGATGAGGATTTTGATCCTTGCTGGTGGTATCACGTCTGCTCTTAGCTCAGACCGGCTCTGACAAGCTATGACCATCTTGGACAAGTTATGAACAGCTAAGACCAGCGGCCCGAGTGAAAGCGATCGGGTCCCCACGTTAAAAACGGACCTTGTGTCACAATCTGGTTCAGTGGGGGGTTAAGTAAATATACCGTCGCCAATGAGGATTTTCCGAGGCGCGGTTATTGCTAGTTGAAAACTATTACCAATAACCCGCGACGGCATCCCTTTATTGTGGTCGCTAATCGCAATTTTTTCACACCGCCACGGAGGTGGCAAATACAATCTAAAAACAGACTATATGCCTCTACGTCCGATCGACGTAACAAGTTGGCTGTTGACCTTAAGTTAGGACTTTACGGCCTTGTTCATTACACGTTTATTATAATGTTTAATGTAAAAACTTTACAGCCTTGTTCATTAAACGTTTAATATAATGTTTAAGGTAAAAATACTGATTGATGCATCCAACCAAATTGTGTAAATAATAATGTATTCTTGTATTTTTTAAGTACTATCATTTTTTATTATGTCGAATTTATCGCTGACATATTTGTCGAGATTTATAAATTCTGAATTTGGTTCAAGTTCGTAAAACGATCGATAAAATTTGAATAAGCTGATTTGTTTGGAAAAATACTTTGACAAAAACACTACAGTCGCGTAGCTAGGAGGGGGTCGTTCGCCTCGGGCGGCCCTTTTGGTCTGTAGTGCGTTTTCAGAAAAGAAAAATACAATAGCATAATGTTTGCAAAAACAGCAGCGATAAGGACGAAGATAGGTTTCAAATGCAGCCAATTTGTCTTTGTTATGACTGGCTCAAATCAATCGAGCAAGCAATAAAAAAGTTGTCTCCAGAGCACTGTCAGCTGGTGGTGATAAACCTCACTTACAAAACGTCAGCAAAAGGTGTGAAATAAATTTGAACGTTTTTAAAGATCTTTATGTAGAGTTGGATTAAGTGAATCCACCGTTTTTTTTACACCTATGTGAGAAGTCCAGACCTTTTCGTCAGGTTTTTGATTTTTTATGTCTGTGAAACAAATAAGTGATCGAACTGTTTTTTTTTTAATCTTATCATTTTTTATCTTATCTTACAGTATTAATACGATATAAAATTGTTAATTTTCATAAATTATAAAATAGATATTGGAAATTTGAAATAATTCCAAATGATGTAAGGATATCATATGCATTCCATTTTTTTTCCGGAAATTTAAAGGAAAGTTGAAGTTAATATATTTTTTAAGTGCAGAAATTTTATTTTTTTTAAAAAAATGGGTATTTTTTTTAATTTATAAGTTTTTGCGGTAGTAAAACAATGCAATGTTTTATTTTATGTTTAGATAGTTGAAGTTTTATTAAGCAAATAAGAATTAAAATTAGGATAACATTTATTTCATTTTTTAAAAGTGAAATTAATTTTGTCCGACTTTTAATTCTTAGTCTACAACTTTGCTAATAATAACTTCAACTACGAAAAACAAAATAATTTAAAAGACATTGCATTTTTACACTGTTAATAGAAAAACGAACCGTGTTTCTGTTAACATGCCATTTAATTTATGACTCTTCACTTGTTAGAACTGAAATAAATAATTAAAAGAACCTGATAAATTATGAATTAAAAGTACAATGTTTTTTAATTTATTTTTCTTTTTAAAGAAAATAGAGGATATAAACAAAAGCGTGTTATCTTTCTTTTAATATCTTAAAAAAGTTTTTAAAGTTTTCCCGATTTAGAAAAATGGAGTAACGTCTTCGTTTTTTTTTACATTTCCCCCGTTTTATTTTTTAAGCAAATAAATAAACACAATTGTAATGTAAATGCTGCTTGTGTACTATGTTGAAGAGATTAACGTGGCTGCTGTTGAAGAGCATTTAAGATTTATGCAATATTGAATCAAGGAAAAACAATGAGAAAACTTTTTTTTTCAATGATAAAATATATATTAAAATCAACAAATACAAAACAATTTTGTAATGTGTGAATATTAAGGAAAGGAAAGTAGTTTCCGTTTATCTGTTAGCTTGAATAAGATAAAATGTAATTAAGAATGTTTCTTGAATAGAATGTTCAAAGATCTATGTTGAAATAGAATGTTGCATTCAGAAAAGCATACAGTCAATTCAGTTGTGTGTTACTTGTGTAAATAACAGAGTGTTGGTTTGTAACTTGGCTTGTTCACAGAAAACGAATGGTGAAATGTAATTCAAGTTCTGTGTCTGTGTGTGCTTAGTGAGTAGAATCAATAGTCTGTGTAGACGTGTGTGAGTTGCTGAATTCTACTGTCTATCTTTGGAACAAAACACTGCTTTTATAATTATTGGTAGGCTCCAGGAAACAAAGCGGGAGAATTGAACGAACACAGAAAATATATGATTGGATGAAAAATTAAACAATCTGTGATTTTCTAACGAAAGCATGTTTGTGAAATTCACGGTAGAAAAATTCACTGTGGTGACTGCTATTAGTAAATTGCCCTGTGGTAAACAGTATTTGTTATTTAACCAATCACAGTTGAGAAAACTGTAGGCGTGGCAAAACGTAGTAGTAGTCACTACAGTATTTTTATTTCATAAATTATGAGTGAGGACTTATAACTACCACGTTAACAGAAACACGGACAAAACTGGCAGCTTACGGACATTAGATTCTGAGAAATAGATGAAAATATTAAAAATTGATGGGTGTACGTATAGTTTCATCATTGGCTATATATATATATATATATATATATATATATATATATATATATTTCGAATGAGAGAAAGAAGACATGGATTAAAAATCCATGGTTCGTAGTATTTTTAAAAAAGTGATCAATAAAAAGCAGAGCAAAATATTATTGTAATATTTTATTATAATAGTTTATAATAAAAACATTTTACATCGATACACAAAAGCATTCATGTTTCAATACCACGATTGAACTTCCTCAGGCGATGGTAGATACCTTGTGATAAAAATGATTTATTAGCGAAATTTAAAACCAAACCGTTATCTTTTTTTTTCAGAAGATAAAGATAGGGGTATAAGGTCAGAAATAAAAATATAATTGTGGGTATGTCTCGATTAACCAATTAAATGTCAAATCTACGCTAAAATTGAAAATTAAGGACAGCGATAAAGCGACGCTTGGACATGTCATTGAAAAATCGTGAAAACGTGGCAGCGTCAAATGTATTATGGATGTAGTCAAGTATTATGTTTCGATTTGTTGAAGTAGACATAAAGTTATCAAAAACAAATTATTTTTTTAAAAATTTAGAAAGCTTATCAAAGGGGCCAATTTATATAATTAAATATGTGGAACATCTATATACGATGCTAATAATACCGAATAGGTAGCAAAACACGAGGTTATTAAGGGTTGAATAAATTAAATAATTAAAATAGCCATATTGGGTGAACCATCATATACTAATAAAATTATGGATATAAAATTTTAATACGTAATTATTTGTGAAAATTATTTTAACAATATTTTCAGGTAAAAGATAGACAATGCCGGCATAACACCGTTAATTCATTTCTTTGGTTTAACAGAGCTTTTTTGTGAGCAAGCTTTATAATATAGATTTTTTTCTTGAGAGCGCAAGAAATGAAGATCATGTAATGATTTTTAAATTCTAGGTTTTTTTTTTTAATATTTTCTATTTTACTCTAGTAGTTTTGTTAACTTCTTTTTAGTGCCAAAACTATTTAGTAAGAAACGTCCTATTACGGTATCCATTGTTGTTGAAAAATAATATATGTTGATACCACCTAATTTTAAAAGAATACTTAGCCAACGCCTTTAGTTCTCTGATGGACCTTATCAAGGCAATGATATTTACCTTACCTCCCCGCAATCAGGGATTCAGCGCAAGGTCTTTTTTAAAATGCGGGGCAAAACCGAGCCCGTTGGCTTAGGCAAAAATTCGCCGTAGACACCATATAAAACGGGATCGGGTAGGTATCTACCACCTCAGACGAGACTT